CTCAGATTCAATTTTATGCAACTAGCCTCCCACTATTAGGTTTGCAGCAAGAGATTTATTATAAGGAGTAAAGATAGGATTCTGCCTTCTATTTTGGTAGTCTCCCTGTGCTTAGCTGTTAATTAAATCTGGGAGCATGTAGGGATAACGACAAGCACACAGACTGATTTAGACACTGCTAAAAGAAGCCACACACTGCCTATGGAAAATACATGACAAGGATATAATGCCCCAAACACTAGCATAATTGAAGAGGAATGGCTAACAGTCTTTTACATTTACTACTGTCCTGTCATAGCTTAAGCTTAATTTCTATGAGTTATTTAGCCTGGCCTGAAGTATGACCTGACACTGAACACTGCTGCTGTTTATAAATAATAGAATGGATTGGGTTGGAAGGGATCTTAAAGATCATTTAGTTCAACCTCCCTGCCATGGGTAGGGACACCTCCACTAGATCAGGTTATTCAAAGCCACATCTGACCTGGTGTTGAACACACTGATGATGGGGCATCCCCAGTTTTTCTGGGCAGCCTGTTAAGTGTTGTTGAGGTTGTTAACCCCTTAAGTGTTATTTCCCTGGGCCTTCCTTTATCCTCCTTTTAAAAATAGGAAAAATGTTCACCTTTTTCCAGTCACTGAGGAGTTTGCCTGACTGCTATGACTTTGCAAATATCATGGAGGGTGACTTGACAACCACATCAGTCAGTTCTCTCAGGACCCTAGGAAGCATCTCATCAAGCCCCACAGACTTGTGCCTATTCAGTTTCCACAGGTGGTCTCAAACCTTCTCTTCACTTACATTGGGAGGGACTTCACTCCCCAACCCCCACCTAAGCATGTTACCCAGCTAAAACTAATCTCTTACAATTCAAATTTTTGAGAATTCTTTAGGAAAAATAAAGGATTTTCATGCTGGAAGATTGCTTCAAAATTTATTTAACTTTATTCCATTCTAAATATAAACACAGCAATTTCTCTGCTGTGCAATGGGTTAAAAAATAAAAATAAAAAATGAGGGTTATTTCAAGAGGATATTTTAAAACTATATAAATTTTTCTCTTCCTCTCTGCAAGATTCACATCACTGTTCACTGAGAGGATGTTAGCACTACATTCAATAGTATACTTGCAGTATATATGCACAGGGAACACCTGTAAAACCTTTAAATAAATTTGCTTGGGGACTAATAATAGCCAGGAAAACACGAGACATTTTATCCTAAACCTCATATGGGTTTTGATTGCTGCTGTCTCTACATTGTTTCTGGAAGCAAAGATCGTTTTTTTCATTTAAAGTTAACTCAGTTTTATATATATATAAACATGTCAAACACACCACACTTGTACAGGTACATCTCTTCCCTAAGGAATAGCTCCTACAGATTGTGATGCAGACACACCTTCAGTGGTATAAGGCAGAAATTCCTGCAGAGAAATCTGTGGGCTTGCTTACATTACTGTGCAAGAGAAAGATGAGTAACATGAGGTGAACTAAAAGAAACAAAAATGGAACAAAATCACAAACCAGAACTTCAGATTAACAAATTTAGGAGGGAGAATATGTGCTAGTGGAATTGAGGCTGCTGTCTCTGAGAATACTGGCCATAGCATCTTTCATCTGTCACTAAAAATTAACTTCATAAAAAATGATCTTAGGAGGGTGTGATCACACTGCAGTGCCTGGAGAGCTCTCAAAGGAAGCACATGCTCGACGGTGTGATCACAGCAAAATGACAACGGTGTGATATGATCTAAAAATAATTTTGTTCTTTGCTCTGAAACTGGTTTCTCCCACAGATGCCCAAACCAGAGCCTCCAATTATTCCTTTAAGGGCTAGGCAGAGAAATAAACAATCTGTGGATGGCACTTGTTTCCTATACATCACGTCTGCATGTCAGGAAGGTGAGCTTATTACTGTGTGAGAAAGTGTAAACAAATTATTTGATCATAGGCTATGCATATGAGTAGACACCCACTCAAGTACTTTTATATTAAAGTCCCTTCCCCAACATCTAGCAACCCTTATTATTCATTATCCAAGACAAGACTGGACCACAACAAATCACAGTTCAGGTCCAGGAGTGCTAAAAAATGAGCCTGTGGAGCTGTATCCAGCAGAGCATCATTTTGAGAGAAATAAGTCCTTTTGACAAGTCCATCATACAGTGGGCATAACTGCAACTGACTGTCCTGAATCCAAGCAATCATCCATCACTGCCTGGGCTCAGTAGCTGTGCCAGGTACACTGCAGGGCATACAGCACTTCTGTATCAGCCTTCCCACAGATCTAAAGCAAAGCAACCTATTTCTTCTGGCGTTCACTGAGCATCAAAATGCCACCAGGGAAACATTTCCCCCCTCATCCAGCTGATATGAGCCTGTAATGCTAATTGTGAGGACTACTGTAATTTCCTCCTGTGTATTCTAGGTACTGTTCTCATACAAAACAGAGCTCCTATTTTCTTACAAAAAAGCTATTTGTTTTCTCTGTATTCTAAGTCACTAGGTACATAGATGAATGAATGAAATGGTTAACATTTTATTAACATTTAAGGTCCCCACTGAACAAAGAGAAAGCCTTCTAATAGCCTAAGCTCTAGATGTCATGAGGCACAGAACAGTATTTTGCTTTATTTACATTATATTCAGAAAAAGGGGTCCACAATCAAGATCAGAGGGTTTGGGGTTTTTTTCTCTCAGGTTTCCTATTTCAACAGAACAAAAATAATAAACTTTGCACCTTTCACTCAAAAAATGCTACCAAGAAAACCAGTTGCAACAGCCTAGCTGCTTTCCTGTTTCCTCAATCCTTTTAGCAAGTCTGGACACGGCCATTCACCTAGACTCCAAAAGAATCTTGGTGCCTAATTTGAGAGGCAATTAATCCCTGAAGCAGCTAGATTAGGTGAGATCTACCTGCATTCTCCTTTGCCAAGCTGGTAAGCAGCTGGATCTGAGAGAGCCCATCCCAAAGCCAAAGGGAAGTGATCTGCATTGGAAGTTACTGCATATACTGAACAGCAACATTTGAGATCGTCCATTCCCTAAGTTCTTTACACAGTGCTGGCTACTTTCCCTTAAAATTGAGACAATTTTGGTTTTTTGCCTAATATTCTTTTTAACATAAATACGTATAGAGACCAGCAAACAAAGCTCTACATCCTTGCTTGAAAATCACCTCAAATCCCTCATCACACACCTTCTATCAAAGGCTACATTCAGAGTGGATTGTTGACTAACAAACAGATTCGGAATAAGCAAATGCTACAAAGAAACTATCCCAACCCCAGCATTTCTGTGATGCCATCAAGCGCTTAAACTCATGGAAAAAGATATTTCAAAACCAAACAACTTTAAGGTGTCAGGACACTTCACAGTCTATAAGAAACTGAAAACAGGCCCAAAATAGAAGTCTTAATTATCTCACACTGGACAGAAAAAAGAGCACAAAACTTCCAGAGATAGCAAATTTACTCTACTTTATTTTTTTTCCTTTTATCAGTCAATTAATTCATTGACATGAACAAATATTAGTTTAAGTTAGTGCCATACCAAAGACACTCGGTGACTTTATCCACCCGTGTTCCCCATCACAAACACCTCCCTTTGCTCCCTGTAAGAGCAGAACATTCATCCTGGAAGGCCAGAGGGAGGCTGTGTAGCACATTGGCTCATCCTCACACTGCACCTTGGAAAGAATGGCTTTGCTGGCTGCTCTGTCTGCAGAGACTGAGAATGCTCTGACATTAAAGTGTGTGGCACATCTCTGAGAAACCAGGATAAAAACATATAAGCTGCAAGCCAGTTTACAAAGGAGCTATTAAAGGACCTCATAAGTACAATGTAGAAAGGGTAAATGTGTTTGTGTAGTCACTTTCCAAAGTAACAAACAAGGGTGTTTACAAACTCACTTTAAGGTCCCTGCAGGCAAATCCGAACAAACACATCACCTCACTAAACTCCTGTACTAATACTAGCTATTCCTAGTCCTAGGGACTCCATTCAAAGCTAACAAACCTCCATCAAAGCTTTGAAATTCAGTTTCAAATCACTGCTCCCCTACTCCCACCTGATCCCCCACCCACAGGGAGCACCCGGTGCTCCAGGCAAATCTGCTGCCCTCCACATTGCTTCCAGACCATTACCTGCTCCGTGCCAGGACAGCTCCCCAGATCCCTGCAGCCACCGCCTTGGCCTGCCTCACACCTCATCCTCCCTCGGCTGTGGGGTCCCAAAAACTCCCATTCCTTCACAGACAGCTCTGCTGGCTCTGACGGCGTGGTTTGGCCAGGCCTGCCTCACACCTTATCCTCCCTCAGGTGTGGGGTCCCAAAAACTCCCATTCCTTCACAGACATCTCTGCTGGCTCTGACGGCGTGGTTTGGCCGGGCCTGCCTCCAGCTCCCTCACACAGCAGCACCGGGGTGATGCACGGCCACACCCTGCCCTCAGCACCTGCTGGCACAGCGGAGCTCTCCAGGGATGGCGCTCAGGGGCTACAAGAGCCGTAGCACCCAGCCAGGCTTTTATTCCCGTGTGTCAGAACTCCGTTCGTGCAGTCCCGCTGTCTCTGCCTGGCACCCCGTGCGCTGACAGAGCGTGTGTGACCCCGGCGGGCTCTCCCCTTATCCCCTCACACCTTCCCGGACACCTTCCCGGACACCTCCCTCCCTGCTCCCCCCGCCGCCGAGCAGGAGCAGCACCGAGAGCGGGAACAGCACTGCGGGCACATGGAGCCCCGCTGGGATTCGCTGCGCGTCAAAGGGACGCGTGTTCGCCAAACTCACGGAGCATCTTCTCCCCTCCCTGCTGAGAAATGAAATTTTGTAGTCATAAGGACTCTGGTCTCTCCTCTCCCCCTCTGTACTCTTTTAATTGAAAGGAATAAAAAAGGGTGGGAAATGAAAAAGAGTTTAACAGCACTGAAAAGATTATAGAGAATAGATATGCAGGTAGGGGGATCGGGAGACAGCCCGGAACACGAAGTCAAGCCCTACCTTCTGCATGTGCCTGTGACAGGTGAGCACAAAAGTTGGAGACGCTCTGTAGTCAAGCTCCAGAAGCCACTTTCCAATCGTTCTTGTTGAAACAGTGGCACTTCAGGGCTCTTCTCTCCCGCTTCTGTTTGGTTACTAATCCTTACTGCACAGGAAAAGCAGAGTTGTATTTCATTTAACCCCTTCAGCTTCTCAGTTTCTTCACAGGAGTTTTCACTTTTGCTTTGGAAAGCCAGCGTCGTAAGCACGCACAGAGGCACGCCTGCCTTGGAATTGTTTCTAGCTTCTGTACTCTGTGTGTGAGCACACACATGAGCTCTAAACTGTGCCTAAAGTTTTTGCAGGGGTGGAGCCCTTTGTAATTAGTTTTATTTTAGCTGTAGGCATCATATCAAAAGAGAGACAGCTATCCACAGATCCCTTCAGTATTCATTTTCACTAAGTTCTTAACTCTGAAAAAAAAAAAGATTTAACTTTACATTTACTTTAAAACTACAGACTGAATCACAGTTCACAAATAAGCTTTTGACAAAATAAACTTTGAACTTAAATAAAATTCATAGCTAGATTTGGGTCTAGGCAAAGTTAAGCAGACCCTTAAAATCTGAAAATAGCAGCAATTTGGATACAGACCTGAATTTAACCAAAGACAATGGCAGTACAAGTTTCTCTGTTTTTTTCCTCTAACAAATGCCATGCAATTCAGAAACCCCCTGAAAATTCCTGTGAAGGAACAATTTAACAACATAAAAACTGTTAAAGGAAAAGGAATCTAGTTGGATGCATTACAAGGAAAAACTTGTGTTTTTAATCATGTGGATACTAGAGAAAACATTGCATAACAACTTATGTGTTGCTGTTGTTTTATTTTGCAAACAGATAAATCTGCCCCCCATTGATTTTGTCCTCTGCTTAGTATAAAACAAATAAATACTGAAATACAGAGACCGCAAATCTAAAAAAATAGATTCTGGTCCAGCAATTATAATAGCTACCAGCATTTCAAACCCTATTTAATATTATGAGCAAGATTTCCTAGATTATAAGAACAGCTTTAAAGTTTTAAGTTTGCGTTGGTCTTTTATGTTTTGCCTTTCAGTTTTAGAGTCCTTTTTAATCATTTTTGAGTTCATTTGTAACCATAAGAGAGACAGCTCTGTTTGTCAAAGGCAAGATGAAGCTTCTACCTTCAGGTAACTCCACACGTTGGATCTTCCATGGAAGATATCAAGATGTGCAATGAAATCTCCACAACTGCTATCACTACTGTCTTCTTGGCCATGCTGCTGCTTTGGATAATCAAAAGGGACAATATCCTTGCCAACTGTGACAAGCCTAGATGTGCACAGCTCCAGATGGAAGTTTCTAGCAGACTTGTACATGCATCAGACACAGAAGCTATTTTATTCCAGGGATATGGCTCTCTTCATCCCTGCTGTTCAATCCCTGTCCAGCAGCTAGCCATGAAAGGTACACAGTTCTCAAATCCTACCATTACTCATCTCACAGGGGACAGAGTTCAAATAAAAGTCACATCTTTTCCACAAGCAAAAGCAATCCTGTACTTTCCTGTCAAAGCTAACTCTGCCACAATAAACAAGGATAAGCCCTAACAGGAAACCCAGTACAAAATGACAACACCTCCACAAAGCAGGGGGGAACCACAAGATACTGAAAGACACAATACACCCCAGAAGAACATCTAATGGTGGTGCAGTTGCATGACTACCTATGTCAGGAGAAACAAAAATTGGACATTGTTAATGCCTAATTTAACAATATAGAAATTATTGTCCTGCCTCTTTAGACTCAAATTTTCTTTTAAGAAAAATAAATCTGGGCTTTGGGCCAATCTGTGGTCCCTCTTTTTGCATCAGAAAGTGGTTACATGAGCACATGATTTTTTTTTCCACCTGTACTTAGTCACTGGCTAATGCCATCCTGCTAGGTGTCACCTTTTATCCTAAGCTTCATGTTATTTGGTCAAACCAACACCTGAACCCGTGGCCTTCTATGAATAAACCAAACTCTCAGATCAGTTCAAAGCTTTTAGCCCATTGGCAAGAAAAAGCTTGAAATCCAATCCCAGAGATTCAAAAACTAGAAGGCAAAACTCCCCACAACTTCAAATCAATTTATAAATACCCAATCATTAAATGCCTCTCATGGCAGTGGGATCCTCAATTAATGTTTTTTTTAAATACCAAGCTTAATAATGTTCTTGTAGTTCTTGTGTTCCTGTTGATAAACTGCGAGGGAGTACAGAGACAGGGAAAATATGACTGCTCACATTGGAATCTAGCCAGGATACATCCAAAAAACAGCTGTGCCTACTGCATTAAAGCAGATATTGTGTAAACACATCTGGATTAATTTTAACCCCATACAGACTTAATAGATGAGCTCCTCATATGCTGAAATAAAAAAAAAGAAGTGACCAGACTTTTACCACAACTAAGCAACATAAAACATAATTAAATTTCTTTTATGAAAAAGAAAGGAAAGAATAATCTGCTCATATTTCCTGGTTCCAGCAGAGATGTGACAAAATCAGAAGCTGTTAGTGTAGGATTTGAGCTTGAGGCTAGTTCTTACCCAAAAAAAGGCAATGCAAATAAACCTTTGCCCTGTGGTTTCACAGAAAGTTTTGCATATGTACCTTTCCTCTGAGAGAAAGGACATGATCCTTGTGTTGAAATTGTTTTCATCACTTACCTTTTAGTGAAAACAAGATAATCCACTGATTCAAGACCATTCTCATCTCTTGGTAAGACACTGACTATAGAATAAACACAGCAGGACCTCTTGCCACTAGGTGTGTCCAGTGGCTGGCCTGGCATCTGGGTGTCCCAGATGAGGTCAAGAAGAAACAGTTGAGATGAGTGCATAGTGAATGGGTGCTGCTGAAGATGATATCCCTTCTAGCCTGATCACTGAAGTGCTTCTGGCAAGGATCGACCTCTACAGGAGCTGCAACATTGGGATTTCAACAGTTACATGGCCAGAGGCCAGCAGTAAAACTTCTGCTTTCTCTTTTGTTATACCTTTCATGGGAATAAACTACCAGGATTCCTTACTGCCAGAGGCTATTTCCAAAGGCTATCTAAAGATCTGCATGCTTTACTGGACAGGGCTCCAGTCTAGCTAGTTATGGCTGGTTAACACTTAGCTGGTCAGCAGATGCTCACCAAGATGCTCTATTACTCCTCATCCTCAACACAACAGAAAGAGAAAAACTGATGGAAAAACTTGTCAAACATCATAAATACAGGAAGATTACTTACTCGCTGGTTACTGTCATGGGCAAAACAGACTTGACTTCAGAGAAATTAATTACTGAGAAATAAAACCTAAACACCTTGCTGCTTCCCCAGGGGGAACTTAACACCTAACTTTTCTACCTCCTGTCTTCTCCCCCAGAGCAGCAACCAAAAAATTCATGCAGGACTCACAAAGCTTCCAGAAGAGAAGCTTGGGCATTCATGCAAGGAAGAGAAGAATCTGTGTTCAGTTTGGTTTCATAATCTGAACCTCTCAAGACACTACTGTGATCAGGAAACCGTGGCATAGTCATATTACAAACTGGTGTTCTTGATTGCTCACTTTACCATTTAGCCAAAGAGCGGGGATCTGGGGTGCTGTGATTATGTCTGGGTCACCTGCTTAAAAATAGGACATGTACCTTGCTTTGCTTTCAGAATAATGTCCAGTTTCTTAGATAAGAGCAGTGGCCTAATCAAGGGAAATGAACAGCCATTACTACTTGCATTTTTCCCAGGGGATATGCTCAAATATCTCGGAGCACAGGATAATACTGAACAGTAATCTTACATCCTAGAAAGTGTGTTGATGGCTGAATAAGAAGGAAAAGAAATAAGGGTCTCTGGGATGTCAAATCAAGTCCACTGCTACTGGGGACATTATGGCATCTCTCTCCATCAGCTGCACAAGGGTTTGAAAATTGGAGGCTTCAGCTTACTCTGAAAAAAAATAAATCTTTTGACATATTGATTTTTTAACTTATTGTAAAGAATTTACAGTACAATAAGTTTTGATTCAACCTGAACTGAGCTTTTTTCAAACTTTTTTTCAACTGAGCTCTTTTGAATAGTGCACCAATAACTCCATTCTTCTCAGACTCCCACTCACTATTGCAGGATAGGTGTGTCATTTAGTCCTCTGAATGACAGCTGCTCAGTGTACAGAACGAATCCTGTCAACTCTTCAGGAAAAGCAGCTCAATTTCATGTTCAGGAGACATTACAAAGTCCTTAGAGGAAGGGTGGAAAGTGTGTTACACACCGATGGGCTCTACTGTACAAGTTAACTGCATCACAGACCGTTGTCCTTTTGCAGTGTATCTGCATTGGTTTATCTCTGCTGCACTGGCCACACATGAACTCTTTCAGGTGCTGAGGATGTTGCAGAGGAACTGTACAACTTTTTATAGATACAGCTACAAGCAGAGCTGATTTTATTGCGGTTTGCCAGCACGCAGCCACTGGAGTCAGCAATGCAAGAGAACAAGGAGGTATCAACTTCATTACTACCTTGTCTCCCTTCTTGGACACTTTCACATAATGCAGCTCAGAACCATGGAAACCAGTGCAGTCATCAGTATTTCGGTATAATCTGCTCCAGGAACAGAGCAACTCACAGGCACTTGGTCTGGCAGGATTCTCTCTCTTAGTCCCTTCTTGACAACCGAGCCAATTCCTGTGCTGTGCTCTCCAAGAGAGCCTTCAAATAAATTTACTCTTTGTATTCAAATAATTGGATACCTCTCTTCATCCATTTCCAAGATGAGTGAAATGGCAAGCCTGTCACTTCATATTTATTTTGATTCTCACCCAAATCAGGCGAGACTTTTATTCAGGCCAGCTTTCTAAACAAGCTGATAGTGCTACACCAAGTTTCAGCTCTTCATCCTTAGGCCGTTTAAAGAAGAAAAGCAGCATGTAATGATAATGTCGGTATTCAAAATGCAAAAAAACAACTTCAAAGTGTTGTGACTAATTCTGTGCAAACTGTGTTGTGAAAGGCACTCCAGTACACTGCACCTCAGGATACAAGTGAAGGCACTATTCCATTGCTAAAACTATTCTTGGATACACAAAGATTTGCCTGTAAAAAAAACCCAGAGGA